TAGATAAGATAAGATTTATCATATATAATACCACAAGAGAAAAAATTTTGTTGGCAAAATGTTCGACTACACCATTTCCAAATCCAAGCGGCAGTAAATGACAAACTGGTCATTTTCATTACAACCTATCAAATGTTCTCCGTGCATGAGTACTGGTCCAGGTAGGGCATTTCAACCAATAGGAAGGCTGGTGTTTGTTTACAATTCAGGTTATTAAAATGTCATTTACTGCCGCTTGAATTTGGAAATGGTGTAGTATGAAAGTTTGTTGCTTGCCGTCAGGCGCATAGTCAGGCGATTGGTTTTGTCAAAAATTTCATGAGCGAAATTACCAAAAAGCAACAAACTTGAATAAAATCAAGAGAATAATTTTGCCTACATAATTTTTTCGTGAGTGGTATTCGGCTGGACTATTTCACGAGAAAAACAAGCCAAATTTTCATTTGGAGATTTTTTTTTTTAGGGGACATTTGTCAAACTCACTAGTTTTTTACTCTAACCACACAAAATTTTGTCGTTGAAAAACCATCATGTTGGTTTTTTCTAGGTAGGAACAGGTAGGAGTTTTGTCAGTAGGAAACCGGATGACATTTTGCCAGTGTGAAACACTCTAGTGAAATAGTCAGGTAAAAACTTAACAGTGATATGATAATATGCACTGATGGTAAAATTTATTGAAAAATCTATAAGGGAGAATCTAAAAATGTAAAGCAAAAATTATTAAAAATAAAAATGACTCGCCTGCTAGACTACTGCCAAGAAAAGAGGACGTTTTAGAAACCAAACAATCCTGTGTTTTTTATACTTAATTGCGTTTTAACCAGTTCAACCAATCAGAAGAGTACATCCAAAAGACCATATTCACTCTACAATGACTTCACAATGAAAAACCACGTGGAATAACAGAGAATAGATAAAAATCCACTAGAATTATTTTAATTGTTTACAAGTTATAATTATTTAAATTAAGGTTATGTCAAAAACAAAAAACTGCTAATTAATTAGGTCATTAGTCCAAAAAATGATTATTTCAGAATCAGAAGCTAGAGAAAGACAAAAATATATCCATTTCCTAAAAATGAGATAAATATAATTTCTTCAAATGAAAATACAAATGACTCTCAAATGCGAAATAATTAAAATCACACTTTGAAAAATAAATCCATCAGGTACTAGATGGCAGTGCCTTCACTTAATAATAGATATTCGCATTTTAAGCACATGATGGATAGATGGCAGCACTGGTATTATATCGAACTTTGTGGATATTTTTAGATTACTTAGATTATGCATTATTATTTTACTCATTCTGAAATGGCAAAAATACAACTTTATAATGAAAATGAGAAGAGATGGAACATGTTACATAAATGATAAATTTATCGTAACAAGAGCAGGATTAACGAGATCACAAACATATGAGGTCAAGGAAACCGAGTCAACAACATCACTTACCGAACGCAAGTACTCGACTTCGGATCATTTTACGAACGCTACATTCCAAAATTTCATCCTCATTAAAATGACCATTCATTACATTATTTGTTTGTTCTAGAAATACTTGTTCAGGATCTTCAATTGTTATTTGTGTACCGATGATTTCCACATTACTTGCATATTGTTGAATTTCTATGTCCTGTACTCGCCTTTCTAGTTCACCTATGGAAGCTTTGAGTCGAGTGTTTTCATGCTTCACCTCCTTCAAAGCACTTTTGTTCTCAGCGGCGAGATCGTCAAATTTTCCGTGATTATGTTTGATCTCCGACTCGATGATACCATAAAATTTGAGAAAACTGCTTCAACTTGAACCATTACACCGAACCATGGCTCCAAAACTGAGGTAGTTTTATGTTGGTCATTTTCTTGTCGGGGTCACCAACTCTATATGTCTGAAACTCTACTAAACTTTTTCCCCACATATTTACGTTTGAAAATAAACATGACCTAAATTGCACAATAGGGCAATTTGACGTTCTGTTTATTTAATATGGCGCCGTGAGCATAACCAGCTTGACGACCGTGAAGGTAGCTCTACATTTAATTCCAATTGATTGCAATTTGAATGAGAATTGAATGTAAACGTACCTTCACGGTTCTCAAGTTTGTTATGCCCTCGTCGCCATCTTGAATTATCAGCTGATTCGAATTGTTTAATAGGGAGATTCGACGTTCTCTCAATTCAATATGGCGCCGTGGGAAAAAAATGTCTCTGGGGAAAAACACACCCGATAATCGTAAAGGAGCGTTTACATTCAATTCCCATTCAAATTACAATCAATTAGGCACTAGCTGACGTCACATACATAACCTCACTTTCGATGGGGGGCAAACAAAGCGTTTGAGGACTATTCACAACACTGAAAACTGTGGCAGTGATGATAAAAATGTCACTGCACCAGACTTGTCTGAACAGGTAACAGGTTCATTTGAGAAACATCGTTCGTTTGTCACAAGGTTCCTAAAGTTAATAGGTTGTCTGGTAATAATAAACAGATGACGTCATCAAAAGAACCTTATGGAGATTTGCATTAGGTTTGGTCACCCCAGATGCCGTCATAAAAGTTATCAGGGACGTCATAAAAGTTATCAGAGCTGGGACTCTGTAACGGATAGGGATCGTTATCCCTATCGCTATGGCACTTGCTGTCCTCTTCTCTCTTTTCGAAATCAATAGAGAGGGCACGTCAATAGAGATAGAGGAACTATATTCGTTACAGAGTCCCAGCCCAGCAGGCAGCCTACCTCTTTCAAACAACCTTGCATTTGTCCCGATTGAGGTAGGTTTGTAATGACATGTTTGTCCTTGTCCTCCTATCAAAAGTGACGTTATGTGATTTTTGATGTGATAGAGGTATTTTTCCGATCTGAACAAACCGAACAAACTAATCAGAGTCACTTGAAGTTTGTTCAAAATAATGGCAGCAAATATCCAGTTAAGTTCCCCAAAATTTTGTAGAGGGCGCGAATGAACTTGGAGTGCTTTGAATTTTGGCGGAAAATGTCAATGGTTTTAAACCTTTTCAATAAGTAGAAGGAAAGATGACTACATATAAACAATGAACAGTGAAGTGAATAAATTAAAATATTTTCCAAAACGTTCAGTGGCCCTTAAAGAATATTTTCAAAAGTATCAGCGTCAGCTTGTCTTGAAATCACACATTAAACTTGATTTTTGAGGTTGAAATTACATTCGATTATTCACGAGCCAAAATTTAAAGAGCTCCAAGTACAGAAGCGCCCTCTTCAACTCAACTGTCAATATTACATGCCATTGTTTCAGTTTTGGCCTTGAGTGTATTTTTGACGCCGCATAAACAAACTTAGTGAGGATTGCAATCAGTTTGTGCAACATATTCAGATCGAAAGAATACCTGGAATAGCTAGCGCCTGTGTGTATAAATAGTCCTTCAAACGCTTTGTTTGTCCCCTCATCGAAAGTGAGGTTATGTGTGTAACGTCAGCTAATGCTCAATTGGAATTGAATATAAAGGCACCTTCACGGTCATCAAGTTTGATATGTCATCGTCGCCATCTTGAATTATTAGTTGATTCGAATTGCCTAATTTGACAAGCAACCAATCAATTCATTCCAAATCCGCATCGCGCATTATTATAAGTATCTCTTTCTCCATTGCAGAAAACCTAATAAACTATCCTTGTTATATATTCCCACCTAGGTTTTCTCAGGTGTTAGGTATTTAATCAAAAATCGCTCGGACACGTCAATTTTTCTTTTTTGAGGGACACATTTTATTTTTGTATTTTTGCCCACTATCTGTCAACCCCTAAGCGGGGGTGACAGATACCCCCAAAATTTGAATAGGAATAGGAGTGATACGTCATTTGGTAGATATTTTTTATAGTTTATATCCCCCAAGTTTTAAGTTGCTACCATTTACCCTGCCGAAATGGTGGCTTTTCAAAGTTAGGAAAAATGCTTTTTTCCGAGTATCTAAACTGTGTGGTTTCTACCACATAATAACAAAACAACATTTTTTGAGGGTACCTATCCATAGTAATGAAATTTTGACATGGTAAATAGTAGCAACTTGAAACTTTGGGAATATAATCTTAATAAAAATAGCTATCAAATGGCGTATCATTCGACTCCCCTTTCCTATTGAAATTTTTGGGGTACCTGTCATCCCCGCTTAGGGGTTGACATGTAGGGGGTGAAAATACCAATAAAAGATGTCCCCCAAAAAACAAAAAATGACGTGTCCAAGCGATTTTCTATTATAATCCCCTAACACCTGAGAAAACCTGGGTGAGAAGTTTTTCGTGCCCAACCCTGTATAAGAAACGTGCATTGAAGTATGTATATGCTATCGCTAGAAGGCCTACTATCAAAAATTAGGCCGGAAGTTTTATGATTCGCTTTCCAAGATGGTTGATAACAAAATCATGGATGCAAGCAATGATGATCAGGGAAGGTTCTGATTGTGACGAAGTGAATTGTCTGAGAGATGTGTACTATTTGAAGGACCATACAGAAATTACACTATTTTTATTTTGTGTCTGTTATATTATTTTTCAGTTCATTGATATTTATCGATCCGCTACCATGAAGTTTTAGAGTCAAATCATGGCAGACCGTTATCGGTATACCTACCCAGTTTTGTTGCAGATCTAGTTGAAGCGAATATTATTTTATTGTGAGAAACGAGACGAGACGAGAGGAAGGAGGAAGGCTTTCTCGACCGAGGGAAATATCGTTTTCTCACGAGACGAGATACTCATTTTTCTATCGCTCTAAGAGGAGACGACAGCGAGAGGCTTCTTTCGTCTCACTACTTCATAAATCATCGTCCAATTGAAATAACACAATAAAATGAGTTAATTTCTGATTACGTCACCTGTTTATTAAAATTTCGCGTATCGTGTGGCATGAAATAAATTCGCACCCGAGAAAATCCCGAATTATAAATCGATTGCGTCAAAAGGCATTTAATTTATTTCTGTCTTTCGCAAAACATTATAGCAAAACTTGTATGGCCACCCGAAAAAATCGCCGAAAGTGCACCCGGCACCACACGGCGTTCTTCTATCATTTTCTAAAAATACCAAGCATGAGAGGAAATTATCTCTCCGGGCCTCAAAAACACTTTTACAGAATTATATCCAGTCGCGAGATCAAGCCAGGTCGGTTGCGGAGTGCGTCGCGTTTCAAATAAAGTTCCGTTTTCGAATCTCAAAAGAAAAAAAAATGGCCGACGTCGACTCTTACGCCAATTTCACCATCACCGAAAAAAAGACGAAGAAGGTGAAAAAGGTCAGCAAACGGCAAACGCAGGACAACGACTTAGGAAATGAAGTTACCACCATCACGGAGACCAACGGAACCAGGGGGTATGTGTTGGCATAAGGGATGATTAAATAATTAAAAAACTACCCAGATGGACACCTTGTTGCACAAAAAGAACGACACCCTTATATACCTACAGCATATTTTATACTGAATGTGACAAAGTGAAAGTGGCGATTATAAATCAAAAATCTTGATCTACCTTTTGGTAATAACCAACTTTAAAAGGCTTGGTTATCTTAGCTTAATCCTCAAAATGGTTGAGATAAAGTTTTGCTGGACCAGCAATATTTGATAAATTTTCGTAAAGCTTCTCATAAAGTTGTTTAGGAATTAATATAAAAATATATAGGTACAACAGACTTTCACTCAAAATTGATGTGGATAAGTTGTTCAGATATCAGAAGGCTTTTAAGTAGGATTCTGAAAAATATCATTAAAAATTAGGACAACTTCAAACGTGGGAAAATTTACTAAGTACCTACTGAGATTGGTTCTATAGGAATAGGCATTTTTGCTCTCAAATATTTTACCTGCTCTAGTGCAAAATTTCAACAATTTCAAATATACTTGATTCTTATTGCTAATCCATCCAAATTAGCATTGTCCCTACTTTTTACTATAACTAGCCCAAAATAATAAATCTTCTGAAAATAAGATGTTATGGGTTACTTAGTTTGATTCTGACAAATCTGATTTTGCTCAGATGAATGGCTGTGTTAAGAAATACCAGATCTAAATTTCTTGTATTTTTTCATTCGGATCAACAGTATCATTCAGAATTAAACTTAAGCATTTGAGTGAATTTCCTAAATGGAAGATTACTAATGGTATTAGGAAAGCTCTATATTGAAAGTTCTACTCATGACATTTTATGATTTTCATATTTTTCTTCTTCTCGATAATCGTTGGCACCATTTCTGTTTCTGTATTGGAATTTCTCATAACTTGTTCAATCCTATTCCTCATTGTTCTATTCATTTCTTCACGTTTAGGTGTTCCGTTAACCATTATTTCTACGTTCAATCTCTCAAAACTCCACAGCGATGTGATGTTTCTCAGTAATAAATGAAATGAAAACGGAAACTCGTCCATATAGTTGGATATATCCAACTTGCCATCTTTACCAAACGCAGTTGATCTCATGTCTAAAATGGAATCCCTATTTTTTGGACTATCATTATTATAAAAACAATAAAAATGCTCTTCAATTTTGCCCTTCTTATAGCTTGAGTAAGGTAAGATTTTCCTCTGGAAAACACTCCCTGGCCATCACTGACTATCAATAATAGTTTGGCGTTTGGTAATGACGTGTGAATGTAACTTTGATTGAACATTTCCATAACAGAATCTATCAACTTCCATAGGTACGTGAGTTTTTTGTTGGTCAAACTGGAAGTTTTGTAATAGTTGCACTCCGCTTCTGAAATTGAAACACTATTAAAGTTTATGATGGAGTTTCGTAGTTTCTCCAAAGCTCACCACGGCCAATATGCTACTTTCAAGCAAAGACATGGCCTTAGAAACCAAGGCTACACTTTCGAAAGCTAATTTCTTAGACTGCTCATTGCTTATCGGCCATACTTGACGAATCATCGATAGCCAACACAATTTGATACTCTCTTCTAGTTCATCCAAGCCAGATTTTCTCTTTTTTAAACTGCAAAGCAATATATAGGATAACTTTCCTCATGTTGATCTTTCTTTCAGTTCGGAAATTCCCTTTTAAATGGCTCTAAAACCAAACGTAACTTCTCAGATAAATCTTGAGTCAAGCTGGCCGTTACAGAAGAGTTTTTTAGCCACTTCGATGGAATTGGATGTAGATTTCCATGTGGAAAGTTCTTGAGTCACTTCTTGCCTAAGTTGATTGATTTTTTTTTGAACTAATTTTTCGGAATTGGTTTCTTGAAGAAGCTGATACTGGGTGTGATGGAATGATTTTCCTCCACGTGGCACTGGTGTAGTTTTTACTGTGTCACTATACTACGTCTTGGGTCCCCTCAATGGCGTCATCTGAATCAAATAAGAATTATTATTTCAATTTTCAAGGTGAAGTTGCAAAGTAAAGAGAAAATATAGCAAAATAGTGCAGTAAATATATTGTTTATAATTTTGTGAACGACTAAAACTCAACTTGTTCTAGAAACGGAAAATCATTAATTTTTTATTAGAAAATTACCGACCATAGCCCAATCGCCTTTGTCTTTGATAACACTTCCATAAACAACACAAGAACCAATAATGTACAAAAACAACATTAATTACAAAAAACTAAAATACGACTTACAAAATGAAACCTGGCTATCAGTTTTTCAAGCACCAAATCTGAATACTGCTACCTAAAACTTTTTGAACTTAACACAGGATAATATTACCAAAAAACAGCACACCAAAAGACAAAAATACAAAAATGGGAAAAAATAAATGGATTGCCAAAAGTTTGTTAAGTAAAATTAAATCTAAAAACGAATTATATAAGTGGGCATTCACACTCTAAAGTATCATGCGACTTGCTGCTAGAAAGCAGGGAACACGTTGCAACTTGCGTTTTCAATGTTTACATTCATACCAAAGTCGCACAGTGCGACCCTATTCATCGACACTCCTCTACGAAACAAGTCAAAAATCTATTAGCCTATCCAAAACACGTGACTTTGACAAGAAAGCGAAGGGTTTGTGTGCCTCTTGGCGGACATTTTTATTTAAGTTTGACAGCATCTTGGATAGTCTAATAAACAACGTTTGTGCGTCTTGCAAATACGTCGCATGCTACTTTGATGTGAATACCCACTAAAGAATGCCAAAAAGAACCTAAAAACTCACAATTGAAAAACAGATACAAAACAAGTATATAAAAAACACAAAAACAAATATAAATCAATGATAATATGTTACAAAGTAACTTTATGGAAATGTGTAAATCTTTTTAAAAAAAACGCACTTTATTTTGAGGATTATTTTTGTGAGATTGGAGAAAACTCGCTAGAGAACTAAACCCTCCAGAAAAAGCAAATGGCATTGATGAAAGTCTGTTTTTCTTGAAGGAACAACAAAGAAATAAAAAAACCTATTTGTCAAGTGAAATTAACAAAAAACCTCGGGCCGGGATCCGATCGAAAACACTTAGGGTTTTCCATGGATTTTCACCTATTCTTTCTTATTTGATCGATTTGAATTTTCGAACCAGTGAGTTTACGGATGATAGTCGTAAAATTGAAGAAGTCAAACCACTATTTGAGAACAGATTCAAAACTGAATTCAGCAATTACTGGCCCATCTTATTTATTTCAATTTTTTTTTGAAAAAATCATAGAACATAGGATAACATTATTTCGGGCAGCATTAAATATCTTGGAATCTGCTTACGTCTTTAAGATCGTATGTTACAAAACCCAACGTCTTTCAGACGTTTGCCTGAAGACGTCTTCCGGAGTAATATTTCATTATTATTACTCTTTTTATAGCTGTCAAATTTGTCTATTCCAGGCGTGAGGCTCTCTGAAACAATTCTGTGATTTTTAAATTGTTTTGAAGCATTTCAAAATGCTTCTGGAAAGTGTTTTAGAACGATCCAAATGGCTTATTGAAGCTCTAAAGTGTTCCAACTTGGCATGATGAGTTCTGGAGCATTCTAGAAGTTTTCAGTAATTGCTAAATTGTTCTGACCTGACAGATTTTGAAGTATTTGAGAGCCCTCGAATCCTAATTTTTCTGAAATATCTCTGAAGTTTCTAAATTGTTCTAAAATACTCCTGAATATTCTGATTTGGATTTGGACTGGTTTTGGATGTTTATTAAAGGTTTGACGTTCTACAGCAATTTAAATTCACTCTTGAACGCCTCAGCAACTTTCAACCTGAATCCTGAGATTCAGGTGCTTTTCAAAATGTTTCTGGGGATTCTAGAGTGTTTGAGTATTTTGAAGCGTCCTAAAATTGGTTTTAAACATCTGAATTGTTCTAAAATGCTTTTAAAAGTTGTAAATCGGTTTTTGAATGTTTCGGAGCATTCTAAAATAGTTCTGAATTTTCCAAATTGTTTTGAAGCGCTATAGAATGCTTTTGAAAATGCTGAATTGAATTTTAGGCGGTTTGAACTTTCCAAAAGGCTTAATAATAAGGTTTGAATGGTTTCCAGTAACTTCTAAATTGAATGAGAAACGAATTCTGTGGGAAGTTCTTGTAGACATCTTAAAAGCATGTCTAAGATGTCCACAAACGACATGCAAGAGGTTTTTCATACGTCTGCTTACGTTAAATAGATCTTAAAGACGTCGTATGTTACAAAACCCAACGTCTTTCGAACGTCTGCCTGAAAACGTCTTTATTACATTTTTCCAAGACATTCTGAAGACGTCGTTAAATATCTTTTCAATACATAAACCATTAGTCACTTCAAGATGTGAATTATGGACGACATCATATGGACTTCTTTTTTTGTCTTTATAGACGTTCAGGCGCAATGCAGATCTAAAAAAGACCTCTTTTAGACTATGTATGTGTGCTGTCTGGGATGATTAACTGACATTTACGATGGGATAAACAAGTTGAATTTGTAATTTCAGAAACAAGTTATTTTGTCTTTGGTTTGTTGTTTAGGGAAGTGATTGAATTATTTGTATTGTAATTGTATTTTTTGCGATCTCACTCCAAACTGTAACTCATGACAAAAATACCCTTTTCAAAAAAGAGTGCATGGTCGTGCCAAAAAGCCATGAACAAATGGGTGACAGATCTATTGACTACATAATACCAAAGTGTTATAATCTACTGCCAAGGCATTTAAAAAAAAAACAAGTCTTTAACAAAACATTTAAAAGGATTTGTAGATTGTGGAGGAAATCGTTTCGGCTTTTCAGCCGCTCAGCACTGCTACCTTTGCAGATATTTTGTACGTGACTCTACATCTTAAATTGTCTCCAGGAGGCGTAGACTTCTGCCGAAGGAAGCTATTTTTCTGGGTGTCAGTTGGCCCACCTCTTCTAGTGACAGCGTTACCCTCTCGAGGAATTTGAGCCTCTTGCAAAATTCGGCTGGACATGCGCAGAGTAGGTGCTCTGCGGTCTCTGCATCTGAGCAGAATCTGCTGAGATCGTCTTCTGCTCTGCACATTAACTCTAATATGCTGAGGCTTTGCTTGCGACACTCTTGTACACATATGTTTACGGCAAGCAGTTCGGCTTGAAATATTGTAAGATGTTTGCCCAATGCCTTGGAGAGCCTAACGTTAGGGCCGGAAATGCCCAATCCAGTTCCTTCCGTTAGTTTGTGTGTTCCGTTGTGTACCACAGAGATGCATTGTCTGCATTTGTGGTATTTCTTTATTCTCCCATGATTGGCGCTCGTTTATTACCAGTGCAAATGGGATCTCTAAGTCCAATCTGACCATCATGTGGTCGCTTGGTTTGCTGGCATTCTCCAGTTTTATTGTTTTGCTTGATTTTGGGCCAGCACCATACCAATAAGGCGTATGTGATTATGGGCTTTATTATAGTTTGGTAAATCTAGAATACCATCTATGGCTTTAGTCCCCATGTTTTACCAACCAGTTTCCGGCATGACCAGATGGCTGATATAGCTCTAGAACATGTTTTCTCTAACTGTTTGTTCCAAGTGAGTGTTTGCTCCAGAGTGACCCCCAAGTATTTCACTTCGTTGGAAAATGGTAGTTGTGTACTGTTAAGGGTGGGGGCTTTCAAATTTAGCTTCCTTCTTCTTGTGAACGGGACAAGAATTATTTTGCTTGGGTTTAGGGATAATCCCTCGCCTTCGCTCCAATTTTTAACTATGTTTAAAGCACTTTACATTCGGCTTGTTATTACGCCTTCATGTTTGCCTTTGGTTATAATGGCTAGGTCCATCTGCATAGACTATGACCTGGTATCCAGCACTACTCAGTCTGGTAATGATTTTGCTTCGTCCTCAGGTTGACGACCAGTTTTTGGTATGAATATAACTTTATCTTCCGTCCAAGGTAGCGGTGTGTCCTAGGACCAGGCTTGCTTTGAAAAGTTTTTGTAAGTGTACCTTTAAGTACTGCCTTTTTGCAGTTGTGCGGGAAAGATCTCGTCTTTGCATTGAGATTTGTAAGGTCTGAAGCTATTAGTCGCTCATTTTATTTTTTTTTCATTGTGAAGATTTTCC